CGTGAGCGCACCAGTACAAAACGATACATTCCCCAGAAGAAGCGTACGATGGAGGAAGTGCGGGCGGATGCTGCCAAGAGGAAAGCGGACAAGGAAGCGGAAAAACTGGCGGAGGCGGCGAGGAAAAGGGAGGAGAAGGAAAAGGCGGGTGGGAAGCGGAAGGCCAACGCTGAAAACGTGCGGCCGGGCGCTTCGAAAAAACGGTACGTTTCTTTTTTTCACTCTAAATATTGTATACTACTCATGAACAATTTATATATAGGCGGACATAGTTGTTTGTTCTAGTCGCCCCGTTGCTGTTCAACCAGCATTAGCCCGTGTTCAACCATGTGGCCCCTCAACTACCTCTTCTGGCGTCGTCGCGCGGCTGCTCAACCAGCCTTCGCCGTTATTTTCTTTCATTCAACTGACATTGTAGTACAAATTATTCTTTTCGCGTTATTCTACGAATTCTCTTGTACTTGAGATACATACACACGAATACACGTATGAATCAAGTTCGAATTATCGCTGATATGGGGAATTTCCGCCGAAAATGGATGTACAATGGGACTTCGCAGATTTTGTGGCTTAAGCGCCTTAGGCGCTTACGACTTGGAGCATTTTGTCTGAATCCGTGTCGGCGCCGAATAAACCCGAAGCCAATTGCCTGCCCGTTTTCTGTCTCTTCTAGTGTATATATCGAGGTTTTCTGTATGCCTGCCTGGCTGGTAGTTTGATCTGTGAAGGTGGTGTGTCTACCTGAATTTGAACTAGGAGGAAACGCCAAATTTGAACGGAATGATGGGAATCCTTTTTGAGGAACAAAAATGGGAAATATAATTAATATCGACAGCGCATCGTCTTAATTTCTTATCCACAGCACACTCTGACGTCCACAACCCCGAGCTGTAGCACAAAAAACCGCAATTTCGGGTTTTTCTACCGTACCGGCAAGTGCCGGCACTGACCTGCCGGAACAAGTGTCTGCGAAACATATACAAACAAAAGCGCTCACCTACTGTACTAATCCGATCAGTTGTTCACTGGGTGTCACCCGTCACCCAAATCGTTCACCAGACAAGTCGTTCACATCACGGCAATCATGTCAAAATTGCCAAATATGGAAGGCCGGCACGCTTCGGCAGGTGCCGGCCGGAGATTTTTGCGATTTTGTGGCCTTTTTTGGGCCGAAAAAGTCCCCGTCACCCGTCACCCTATTCAAAATTGTTCAGTTCACAAGCCGGCGTCACACATAACGTGAACAACCGATCGGATTAGTACAGTATTCTCCCCAACTACCCCGACGTCGTACGGGGTCCCGCCACAATTTTAGAGGATATGGTAAGTCAGAATATACTATTTAGTGCTTGAACTACCTGTATATACCCTGGTGTAGCAGTGGAACGGCGGGGGAGGCGGAAATATTGCCGACAATTTTGGCGGCAAGGCGCAGCACTGCCACCCGCCATCTCTCAAGCGCGCCAGGGCGGTCGATGGCGCCTGACAACACCGCCGCATGCAGCGCCCAGGATTAACCGACGGGTATGTGACAGTTTGCTTAAAAATAGATTGGACCTCTCATTAGAGGCTTTATTACAAAACGCAACATCCTTTCATTACAGGTCCTTTTTATAATAAATCGCCGTATACGCCTGGGTGCCAGTGAGAAACAAGTGAGAAATGTGTTATGTGAGTTACTTATGTCGCCCTGAGACTAGTATTATTAGGGCTAATGGCTGTGATTTGCGTGTCAGTAAACAATAGATACGAGCGGCGCCAGAAAGCCCACAGAGAGCGACGGGCAAACTCGCTTTCGATGCCATGGTCGTGGTTTGAAGTCAACCGGCCCGGAATCAAGCGAAGGATGTGACGCGTGACGTTACAACATATCTTTCTCTCCTGACTCCGAACGACGATGTTCAAGAAGGTCGAAGAAGTGAAGAAAGTGTTTCGGACCGCCGAAGTATGTCTTTTGGTGGAATGCTACGAGAAGTCGTTGATTGGGCTCAGCAGCGTGATGATCCCGGGATGGACGAGATAATGAATCAGCAGTGAAGATGATTCATGAAGAGCAAATGAATACTAGGGATGGCTTGAAGACGGTGTATATGAGGGTGCTGTGTGGGTGCATCGGTGAGAGGGTCTATCGTTTCTGGATTTGCTTTGGGCCAGCTTCGTAGCCAATTCATAGCTGCTATCGTGGAGAGCAGTCATTCTCAGCAAGCTTTCACCTTCGACTTCTGTGCCACCAATGAAGCATTCGGAGTGCCCTCGATGTTATCGACCCATGCATGTATGCTGTCAACGCTGGGCTCTCTTGGTCACCCTCTGACTGCTTTCCCGCCGTCGACGTTTTATTCATAATCTCTTCGGATTCGAAAGATTGTAAAGGTCTTGTTGGCACGATATACGTCCCGACGACTTGCTTCGATCCGCCTTCGCTCATCCTGGCGACGCGAACGTATCCCCCAAGCACCCTATTCATTCGTGGCAGAGTGCTTTGTCGGCAAACGTGCAGGCAGCTCGAGCGCTCATTCGTCTTCCGGACGCGCTGCTCGGGTTCAGAACGACAATGTTCCGCAATGAGCGGCGGCTGAGTATACTCCGTCGCTCTCTCGTTATCTCGCCCCGTGGCTCTTCTTTCCCGACGCGCAGCTCGTGCGAGAGGGCTTTCCGCTTGTTTGCTCGTGCTGCCCCCCTCGTGCCGTCCTTCACTATCCTTCGTCTTCAGCCCTCCTTGTCGATTTCGATGTGCTGCCTCGGACTTGTATCCCTCACGCACTGCCCTTTCTCGCCGCCATTGAGCGCTTCTTTTTTACCCTCGGGGTGTGCCCAGCGTGCGGGTTGTCAAGATTGGCGCCCATCCTTTTCTTTTCCCTCGTTTCAACGCGTTCTGCATTCAGTCTGGTACTACGGACAGCTATCCATTGTCCTTGCGATCAGCTCTCTCTTTCGTCACGATCCACAGCGTGCATGACCCGTTGATAGGGCCGCTCAGCGGCTAGGCATGAAATGCCCGGAATTTATCGATTTTTGAGACCTATCAGCGGGAGAAGTGAGGTTAGGATAATAGAAGATATGCCCGTCCTCGCGGGCAGTATCTTATTGCTGTGGATAGCCGACAAGCTGGCGGGACACTAACGGGTAGCGGCGGCTTAGCGACGTTTCCCTAAACATGGGTGCGAGACTCTGCCGCTGACTATTTCTAAACTGCCGGGCCAAGAGACTTAGTGGGAAACTACTATCTCGAGGTGCTGGAGGCGACTAAGAGGAACTACCAACCTCCCTGAGGTTAGGCGCTCACCCCGCCGACCAACATGAAGAAGATCTAGCGGGGGACCATACTGAGTTCAACTTCGAACTCAGGACGGCCACCACTCTACCGACGAACAGGATCACCGGCAGGCTCTACCCGAGCACGCCGGCTGATTACGGACAGCCGGGACTTAACCGACTGCCAGCGGGAGCACCGCGGAGCCAGCGGCTATCCAGCCAACGGCTCTGTCAGAATGATGAGAAGGACATGGCGAGTTGCCGGGGGCATTTCCCGCTGATTGCGGACAACCCGAACGGCGAGTGGCGAGCCGCTAACGCGACTCGGCTCTCCCTATTCTCCCTGGAACTTAGACTGTTCTGAAGATAGAAGACGAGACGAACTTGACCGCTGTCGAGCCGTTGACTAACTACTCAGCGGGAAGCCTTTTCGACTTCAGCTCGACCAGCGGCAAGACCATATTATGAAGGAAGAATTTCGTGTCCCCTCCCGGGGACATGGCAACCAGCACGCCATTGCACTGCAATAAGGCGCAATACCCACCCGCCCGCATGGACTTTCTCCGGGAGGCAGTCTTTTCACTCACGACTCGCAATCCTGAATATACCATTGGTTCCCAGCGGGCGCGGCATCAAACTTGGACACTCTCTCATCATGATTTTATTTGGTTGTTTCTGCTCCCGCTGCATGTATTTAATCTCCCGGTGTACTTTTTGTTACTCAGTCAATTACCTACCCGTAGACAAGGGCAGTTTGTAGCGGACTCTAGAATTTGAATTGAACTTTGAAAGAGACTAGACTTGATATCTGAGAGAGACTCGAGTGATACGGAAAGACTTGTGGCATACCGAGCCGCCAGAACTTTGAGAGCCCCGCCAGCCTTTGAGCCCGAGCCCTCCTGAAATACGAAGCCCCGTTTCTCGCCGTTCCGCGGTATAACCAAGACCCCCGTTCGTGCTTGATTCCGCGCCGTCGACGCCCCGTGTGCCAGCCGTTCCGCGGTATAACCAAGACCCCCGTTCGAGCTCGCCGCCGCGTAGTGGTGTAACTGCCCGGGTCACTGTTAGTGTCCGCGCCATCGACATAAGAGCCCCGCTTCTCGCCAGAGCCGCGCCAGTCGTATAAGAACCCCGTCCCGCTGAGCCGCGCCTTCTGCCCGCCGGTTGTCATCCAGAAAGCTTCTTACCGGTTGACGATCCACTACCGGGCGACGCTTTTCTATTGGCACGGAGACCCTCCCCGCTAGACTCAGAATTTCTCATTTCGAAGTCTCAGAAAGAGTGACTCTTCGCTTCTCCCGCTGCGAATCGTTTTGCCCGCTACGTTCTCGCTAGACAATCTAGTAGTTCGTCCCGCTCAAACGTAGCGACCTTGATTGATCGAAGCTTGCACAAGTATTCTGAGGGACGATACGTGCTCCCGCCACCCCGAACACACACACACACACACGTCGTATTGGATTAGATTTTGTGATTTTATATTTCGGTATATTTCACGCCTACACCTACACGCACCGTTTCATCTGGAGCCCACCGCGAGGGCAAACAAACATAAAGGAATTTGTCCCTGTTTGCCCTTGTAATACAAATGATGAACTCGCAGAGCCAAGCATGTAAAAACAAATGAAAATTGTGGAAATTGAATTTCTGACCATCAGTAGTCGGGCGGAGTCCCCACCTGCTAGGACCAGGATACTGATGTGACGGGGACGTCACAGCTCTCGTCGGGGGGAGATGTAACATCAGGCACTTTAGCTCAGTGGTAAAGAGCACACTCAAATAATGAGTATTAAGAGGTCCCAGGTTCGAGTCCTGGAAGAGCCATTCTTTTAACACATTTTCATGCGTGGTCACATGCCCTGCTTAACATCTGGAGCCCACCGCGAGGGGTGACAGATTATTTGTGTCAAGTCGAAAGAAATCGCTTGTGGACGCTGCTATAACCTAGCACGAACCATCCGCCGGTTGACTCGAGAATAGAATATACACCCGCCCGTTGAGCCATTAGCTCCAGGCCCGCTATAGAAGATTTTGCCATTTAGTTTCGGAGGAGACGTGGCTTCAGAAGGACGATCCGCTAGAGCACCACCACCAAAACCTCGGTCAACCAACACTAGCCTACGTGCCGCTGCCGCTGCTCTCGATCTCGAGACTGACGATCCTTCCCGCCCGCCTGTTGCTCTTGCCCGGGAACTCTATTCTCTGCGCGGACGAACCCAAGCTCACGCTTATCGTACCCGCCAAACCCAGTCGTTGAGCCCCTCTGCTCCGCTGGAACAACAAACCTCAACTCAACCGCCCGGCACAAGACCTGTTACGCCCGACGGTGCAGCTACCCAGTCGTCAACGACTCTTTCGTCTGTCTCTTCACCACTACTCAACACTTCACCAACCCCTTCAAATAATCCGATGGCTGACGACGGCAACAACAACCCTGTCGTTCGAGGAAAGAAGCGCGCGCCGGAACCATGGGACAGGAACGCCCCGCTCTTCAAAGAGGAAGAGCCGGAGGAACTCGTTCGTTTCCTGGACCATGTGGAGCGTATGATGGAATTAGATGAGACGCCGGATGATAAGAAGAACGAGTTCGTCTGCCGCTATACTGCTCAGGCAACCGCCGAGGAGTGGCGGCAATTCGCCTCGTATTCTAAGAAGTTCGACGACTTTAAGAAAGAAATCCTGGAAAATTACCCGTCCGTAGTCGACCAAAAGAAGGGCTCTGTGCAGAAATTGCACCGGCAGCTTCGTAAGTTCACGGAAGAGGGGATCGACCGGGACGATGAAGACGAACTCATGCGCCTAATGCGCGTCATGAACGTCGAGGCGAACAAGCTTCTCGATTCGAAATTAATTTCGCACCGGGAGGCTCTCCCGATGTTCTTCTCCAAGTTGAGTCCAGAGTTCAAGGAACGGATTCTGGAGAACCTCGAGCGGAAACCTCCCGCTGCCGGGGATGATGCTGACGAGCCAGAGGTCCGCACATGGACGCTGGCCGAGGTCATGACTGAAGCCAAAAGGATCGCAAAACGCTCGACCGCTAACTCTGAGTTCTTTGGCGCCTCTGACCGGGGTTACTCGAGCAAGTCCAAGAACGCCAGCGGGTCTGGAAAGGCGTCGAGCGGGCGATCCATACTACCTCACCCAAACGTGACGGTAAAGAAAGAGGAAGAGGACCCTAACAAGTCCCTTCTTGAGACGATTAAGGTGTCGGTCGTCACTATGATGGAGCGGCTGGACAACCAGACCTCCCAATTAAAAGAGATCGACGCCGCGACCAAGAAGAGGATGGCCGAATTAGAGTCCTTCTATAAGTCCCTACCGGGCAGAGTCCCAGGCGCCGCTGACTCCCAGTCTTTCCCGCGAATGCCAACCGTGCAATTCAAAGGGAACCTGGCGGATCAGGGGTGTCTTTATTGCGACAAGTTTGGGCATTTTAGAGATAAGTGTCTCATTCGGCAAGCCCACATAGGGAGTGGAAAGATGAAGGTCGTAGGGTTCAGAGACTGTTTCCCCGATGGGATACCAATCCCGAAAGACGGGCACAAGTCCAAGAAGCAGCAGGTAGAGGAGTACCGCCCGGCCGCCCAACCCACGGCCGCTGCGCAAAACTACCAGTCTGTCTTCGCTCAGCTCTCCGTTCTTGACATGGACGAGCAGGAGCTGGAAGCCGCGCAAGCCGCGTTCAGCCAGAACGAGGAATTCTACTATGACCCGAGAGAAGAAGAATTGGTTTCCTTGCGAGCTGAGCAAGTAAACCTCCAGCGGCAAGTGACGCAACTCCAGTCGCATGGTTCAGGGGGTGTTCAACCACCCCTTGTGGCTCATCAAAGCCAATCTCCCCCGCCGCAATTCGACGCCAACGCTGTTGCGATTCTGCTGGCGGCTGTCTCAGCGAACTCTCGCTCTTCCAACGGGGCTGGTCCTTCCCGAACGGGGAACAGCGTCGAAGGTGAGCATTTTTAGAGAGTTCGAGGAAGGGGGCCAAGGGGAAACCCCCTGCGGATAAGCCCCCGGAGAGCCGACAAGCACGCCCGCCCGCAGGAAAGAAAATGGAAGTTGTGATGCCGAAGTTGCCCTATAAACCGAGGACGATACGAAAGCCCGCTGTCGAAGCACAGCCGGCGATCGTGGAGACCAAGGAAAAGGAGCGGGAGGAGACAGAAGAACAAAATGGCACTCAGCCGCCGGAACTTCCGTATAGGAACGTTCCCCCGGTCAAGCCAGCTAAAAGGCCCAACGAACCTAGAGTTCGGCCGGCGGGAAATGCGCCGCCAGCGGCCAACGAAAAGAACTACGAGTTGAAGGCGCCCGTAGAGGACCAGGAAGATGAGGAGGTCGAATCCTTGATAAAGGAGATCTTTGGAAACCTGGAAATAGCACTCCCGCTGGGGAGGCTGTTCGCTCTCAGCCCGAAGTTGCTGCGTCAGGCTAAGGCGTTGCTCTCGAAGAAGAGAGTCTCGCCCGCTGTTCGAGTCACCCTCGAGCAATTGATTAGCCACGCAGAGAAAGAAGCCGACGAAGATGATGAGTGACCTTGCTTTAGTAAGGTCCTTTCAGGTGACAATTCAACCCCGAAACCTGCCAAAAACAAACAACCACAAACAGTTTTCCTACCAAAACAGGCAAAACACACTGCCCAGAAGGGCTAATTGCCAAAACAGAGCAGTCCAAAACAAGGCTGCATGCCAAAACAGGCAAGAGCTGTTGCCCAGAAAGGCTATTGCCAAAACAGAGCAGTCCCAAACAAGGCTGCATGCCAAAACAGGCAAGAGCTGTTGCCCAGAAAGGCTGACTGCCAGAACAGGTCAGGCCAGAAGGAGTCAAATCCGGTGCCGAGATGCATGTCTGCTAAATTGGGTCGAAACCAAACATGTACAAACATTAGAGCGACCCCAGCAGGTCGATATTCCCTGTCTGCCAGGAACAAACATGTACAAACATTAGAGCGACCCAAGCAGGTCGATATTCCCTGTCTGCCAGGAACAAACATGTACAAACATTAGAGCGACCTCAGCAGGTCGATATTCCCTGTCTGCCAGGAACAAACATGTACAAACATTAGAGCGACCCCAGCAGGTCGATATTCCCTGTCTGCCAGGAACAAACATGGTCAAAACATCGTGTCAGAGTCACGCGCGTCCTTTTCTCCTCCTCAGTACAGCGAAGCTCTTCAGACTTGCAATGACTTCTTCCTCTTGTTCTCGTCAGTAATAAATAAACATACCGGTAATAACGGATCGTTCGAAGCTTGGTTCGAAGCTCGCCTTACCTAACACTCTATCTAAATTAAGTTCACGCGTCCACCATTACTGGCATAGTACCCGGACACGCGTCTTGCATTGTCTCCGCTTGCTAATTTCTTCGCTTCAAGTCTCCAAACTCACAGACGGTCATGTCTCAGGGCGCTGAACCCAACTCTCGCGACGAAGAGATGGAACATCCACCGTCTGTCGACACCGTAACCGCATGTGTGCTCCCTGACTTTTTCCAGACACTTGTCCTTCACTTCCGAACAGCTTCAAACAAACTGGAATCTCGTTCGGTGCGTCTTCCTTTACAGCTAGTCCAGTTACTTCAGTGCTCCTGACCTTCTTAGTCTCCATATGAACTCACCGTGTTTCGAGTATCCCATGGAACGCCCTATCACGGAAACGTCGCCTCAAACCATGCGATTCACATCGAACTCGTCCCCACTTCTCATTCAAGGCCCGCATGAATCTCGAAACCCACATGTATCCGTCCTGGAAGCCCGTATTCGCAAATGGATGCCCATAGGCGAAGCTGCAGTGTCTGCCTACGAACAGCAGGTCCAAAAAATGGAAAGAGACTTGCTCCTAGCGAAAATGAAGCTAGGATGGGCAAAAGTTATTGTTACAGGCACAGAATCTGCGTTACATCCCATTTCTCGTGTTCCATTGGAGATATGGATTCACATCTTTACTTGGGCATACGGTCACGAAAACGAATGGCCTGTCGTGTCCTTAACCGACTTGAGTCAGGTCTGCAGGCACTGGAGACAGATGCTGACCAACTCCGCAGCTGCCTCTCTTTGGAATCCTCTGCATCTGGGTGCCGGTGATTCTCTCGACAAGAAGTCGAAAAAACTTCAGTATATCGCGGCTTCCGGCATTGTCGACGTCATTATGCTCACCGAACGGTCGCAACTGAACGAGAAGCTCCTGGTGACTATCTTTCGCCAACCGCTTCAGGATGCACCCATTCCTCGCATTCGGAACCTAGCTCTTCACGATTTCTATTCTCCGTCCGGCTACCTGGCACGATCCTTTTTTCATCAAACTGCGCCCCTTCCTGACATCGCCAATCTTTACGTCGTCGGACCTCCATGGAATACAGGACGTTACCCTTCCACACAAGGCCTGCCCCACTGGGCCACGGATTTGGAGGAAAGGAATCTCCAACCTGAAATCCACATCGAATCTGAAATGCAGTCCTTGACTTTGATTCAGACTTTCGAACCTGACCGCCGACTCCATATCTCTTGGTCTTCTTTGACTGTCTACGCCGAACTCAACACGGCTCGCGCTGATGGGATGCTCCCCGCGTCGCATTTACAGCGTCTCTCGTCCCTCACCAAACTCTCTTTGGGAGGAGTTTTCTTGCCGATCGGTGCGGATCGCGTCAAATTGCTTAGTCTGTCGTGCTTTGAATACATAGTTCCTTGGAAGTGGATTTCCGGGTCCACGACATTTCAAGGAATCGATTGCCCTAACCTGACTGAGTTGCACCTTTCAGGAAGCTCGGACAGGACCTTGCACGTCACGGAAGCTAGCCATCGATTTCACCAGGACCTAGACGAATTCCTT